CCCTAAAAGTTTTGAGGGTGCATGAAAGCTTTGTTTGCTCAAATCAAGTACTGAAAAAGCTACTCTAAAGGAGAGAGTTGGTTGATTGAATTCGTTGCAGGGACAGAATTTTGAAGATTACGGCGATGAGGCACTTTGAGGAAGGGGGGACCTGCGGGTGGGGTGAGGGCTGCCAATGTAGAAGTCGACTTTTTTATCTTCTTAGACGAGTCTACTATCTATTAGCTTTCCCGCAGGCACGAAAAACTCGTTGTTCAGGCGGGAGCCGATCCGGGCTTTGAACCCCAGACCACGCTTGTGGTAAGTGGCGCCACTTGCCCCACATTATCTCCGCTTAACCAACATTTTAACATTATATTCTTAGCATCTGTCCCTAATACTGGTGTATAAAAAGAGTATAGATAGCTTAAAACAGATGAAAATGCCTTTTCAAAGCTTGTTCCAGGTTTTTTTTTTCGCGACTGCAGCAGTCAGAATGGGCAATAACACTGACAAGGGGTGTGCGGTACAAGTTCCCAACCGATTTACAGGGCCTCGAGGTCGCATCAGGAGGACTGAGTTCACAATGCACGCCATTACCGTCCCCACCGCCAATAGTCTCTCTGTGTATGTCATCCACCACCTGATAGAAACCAACTGTAGGTTGCTTTTATAATAAGATTTCAGGAAACTGAATGAATGGCTACAGAATGGCTCTCAAAATCGCTACAGAATGGCCTAGTTTGCTACGAACTTCTGGGACCCCCTAATATTTCTCTGTGTTGGAAATCTCGTTTTCTTCTGGTTGGAGCGATCACTATGAATAAAAACATGAAAGCACAACAGGAGGCATTTATAAACATCTTACATCCGATTCGGTGCTGCATAGAGGACTTGCTTTCAGAGTGAACGCAACGAGCGGCCGAGTTTTCGATCGTAGTTCCAACATTACGTATCCTGAAAGTGATATGTTATTCGCGGGCTGACACCAATCAAGAAGATGAGCCGAAAGCCTACGGTTACCACTGGTACTGCTCCGCGGAGGCTGATGCGTCCATGTTTGCGGCGCTGACGTAGGTTGCAACTAACACACTACAACCTTGTTCGCGAGCGTATCAGTGGGGTTGGGTTGAGCGCGGCACCATTTGCACCAATTGTAGTCGCTTGGTAGCTTCAGCAATTCGTGGGAACCGGGTCGCCAAATCCGCTCCCTCCCCACCCTCCTGACACGCCACAGCATTTGCGAGAACACTACTGTATGTGCTTCTATCTCTCAAGAAGAACACATGCTGGTTCTTGGCCACTGTTGCCGAGAATGTGGCGAAAAGCTCTGATGAGCTCTAATAATGATAACCAATATGTCCTCCAACTAAGGGGAAAATGACTGATAACAGCACCCATTTCTCAGCCGCATAATAGTACTACACTCATAATCAAGTGAGTTCTGTGGAGCCAGTTTGACCGGTTATCGTTGCCATGACCCTCCTTTGTTTGGGCTGCATCTTCAACTCAGTTTTTCGCGACTAATGATTATGTAGCCAATTCGGCCAAAATCGTCATCTTCCGTGCGTTTCATGGAGATAAACCTCTACCAGGCATCCTATTGAGCAACTGATCACTGCTTTCAGCTGAAATCTTCGCTGGAAAATACCTGTGTGTTAACAGTCTCAAGTAAGAATAACATACCTCTTGTCTTCCTTGTGGAGGGATCTATAGAACACATGGCTTTTTGGAGCTGCTTAAGTTCCACCCAGTGAGGTGGATACTTGAATCTTGCCACATCCATAATCAGAACACGATCGCTTTTCGTATGGATACGCACCAAGTGGAGAGAAGTGACCTTTAAATGAAACTATTCAAAGGGTTCTTGAGCAATAGTGCAAATATTATGACCTCTATGTAAATTATTAGGACTGCCCTGTGGGTCTTCTGTATTCCCAAAGTTCTCAAACTACATCTCAGAAAAAAAGCAAAAATGCAGGGACTGTGATACCCCAGCGCCTTACGGCAGTTTAAGAAGCATTACAGAGCAGTTAGAATCGTAGCATCGGAAACCGGTATGGGACTAGTACGGGTGCGGTTATCGACATTCAACTTTCTATCGTGGAATTTTGTGTGATAAAGGATTTTCACAGTACTTAGTTTCTTTGCCTAAAACTTGCACTGCCCAAAGGCACGGTATACGACCATTTGAAGGTATGTGCCATTTACAACATGATGTACCCAAGTCCACAGTGGGCTCATTGTCTGTGTCGCATGGGAAGCATAAAGAACGCGGAATTTATCGATACCGCTGCCGCAACACGCCTCTGCTTGTCTGTAAGCTATTGCCCGAGCTATAGGAAGTAGAAGACATCGCAAGATAAGTACCGTCCTAATATAGGTTGGAAGGAAAGTCCTGTCAGTGTTTTTTGAAAAGCTTACAGTTTTTGATTCTCGATGCTTGAACATGACGTAACATGCCATGCTTGTAGAACATTCTAGGAGCTTTCCTGCAAGAGGTGTGTGAGGGCGCCTGCTCTTTCCTGGGTCTAATTACGATGTCAGTTTCACAGGAGCATCTTCGGGTCATCATCATGTATCGGTGGCCCCGCAGCACTGGAGCCACAGCAGCGCAACATCAACACTGCATTGCCGGAGGACACCGCTACCATCAGGACCGCCCATCTCTGGTTCGCTCGCTTCGCTAAAGGAGACACGATCCTCGAAGAAAATCCTTGGTTGGGGCGGCCCCACAGAGTGCGAGAATCCACCATTCTCGAAGCAGTCAAGGAGGATCCAGAGGCTACCACCCGCAATCTTGCGACAAGACTCGGATGTACCTAACTGACAGTCGTCCACCGCCTGTAAGCCCTTGACTACCAAAAAGTACTGGCTCGATGGATCACTCATACCTTGACCGATGGCACGCTGCGCACCCGGGTACCCCTTGGTCAGTCTCCCCTTCTCCTCTCTCGTCAGAAGGAGTTTCTAGGAGGCTGCCTAGTGGAGTTGAGAGATGGGTCCTCTGTAATTTCAAACCACACAGTACCGTGTGTCCCTCTCAAGGAAAAGATCCATTCTAGCAGTCCAAACCGGAACATGTATTCCAAGAAGGTTCTCCTGTGCTGCTCCGACGCGAGGGGGATGCTGCAGAACGAGCTGCCTTGTAAGAACAGACGGTCACCGCTACCATTTGTGTCGCTCAGCTCCTGAAATGAGTGGAAATTGTTGGAGAAAAATGACCGAAACTAGCTTCGGAGCACCTCGTTCATAGTACGCGAGACCCCATACCTGCTATGGAGACCTACCAAATAATTGAGGAGCAAGGCTGGGAGACCAGATCCCGCTCATCATATTCTTCTGACGTAGTCCCCTACGATTGCTACCTTTTCCGCCTCCTTAAAGGCAGAACCCGCGATCATTCGCCACCACAGATAGTGAATTGGTTCGCATATAGACGGGAAGGTTGTGAGTAACTGGATAGTGAAGAAAAAGCGAAAAAAACATGCCAACTGCCTAAGTAGAACCCCATTCCGATTCCACTTTGTACGTGCCCAATTAACTCCATCTTCAGCATTATGCCCTCATCCGCACAGCTGATTCCCCGACATGAACTCTACGACAGGTGACAATATTCATGCTTTTTCGTCCTGCAGCTTGTTTTTTCCAATGGAAAGTGGGCCTTGAGGACGGAGCCAGGAGGCGGAGTCACTGGAGAAAAGGAGGCGTCACTGAACCTATATTGCGTATAGCCCCTCCCTTACAATTTTTTGCCGCAAAACCGGTACAAGGTTGTTCGTCGCGGGCCACACTACCCTCCCGACGCCATATTTTCAACTTCTATACCCGATTGCGGACCGTCTTCAAGGCTTTCTTAGCTAGGAAAACTTCTAGCACATCAGTTGAGAGGCCGCGGACTTACTTGACTCCCAGTCTCCTCAGTTCTGGAGGGGAAGGGGAACGCTTACCTGTCTAGATGAAGCAGCATAGTGGCTAAGTATGACGAGTATATTGTTGACTAATTCCCCACGATATGTTGAGCTAGAAAATAAAAAAGAAAAAAGTCACAACAGTGACAAGACTTTTCTTCCAACCTATATTTCACATTTTTCAATCGTTTACCCAACGAAAAGCCTCAGTTAAGACATCTCCGTGGTACGAGGCAAATTCGTACGTATCGGAGGTGTCATACTTTCTCGAGACGTGCTTGACGATTTTCTCTGCTGTATTCTTCTTAGATGGCTCAACTAGCACGGCGCGGTTCATATAATGAGTGTCGTAACTGGCAGCTTGCCGTCGTCCCCATCTCTCTAACAAGCCCTATTACGGCTCTTATGGACCAGAAAAAACAAAAGGTTTTACCTGTTCCCGTTTGCTCCAGCTGAGATCGGTCATAGCTGGCTACGACCACTCGATTTTCTCCACGGACCGATTCCAACACATCTCTTCTCAAACCAGACAGGAAATCTGAATCTTGATCTATCATGTATAGCATTCGCAACCAACTCCTGACTCGATCCCGACTAAAATCAGAAAGTTAGCAAAGGACTGAGCTGTGAAAATTGCCATCGAGCCGCTCCTGAGGCCGACACTGTAAGTTCATAAACAAGGGAAATGAGAGAGCGTCTTCTCGCGAAAGGCCCGCACGCGTAAATAAACCGACCACGCTTAGCAAAGAATTTGTGGCATGCATTGGAACGAATGAGGTGGATTAGCATTGAACGGAACAATGAATGCAGAGTTTCTGAAATCGCGAATAGTCGCGAAACCTTATAGCATGACAGGCAGTGCTAGAAATGATATTAGGTTGTCCGGAAAGTTCTCAGCGTTTTGTGTTACTATTTTTTGTACATTCATTGCTGATTAAAAACTCATTCTCCCTTGCGTCTCAGTAGTACATCCTGAAGAGAATTCTTTGCGCTATCTGATGGTATAATTGCCGTTTCACCATTGCTTGATAAACCCCTTTTTTCAAGATTTTTTCAAGCATGTCAAAAGAGCACTTCGGACGATATTGTTCTTCAACTTCAAATTGGGTCAATCCGCAGTCGAGACAGCTCGAAAAATTAACCAGGTGTGGGGCCCACTAGTGTTGGAGAAAGCACCGTGCGACAATGGTTCGACAAATTTCGTTCTGGAGATTTCAGCCTTGAAGATGAACCTCGTAGCGGTCGACCTAAAGCAATACCTGAAGATTTGAAGGCATTTGTGGAGGCTGACCCATCCCAAACAGTTCGAGAGATTGCAGAAAAGCTAGGCGTTGGCAAATCCACTGTTGCGGATGGTCTGAAAAGCATTGGGAAGGTGAAAAACTCGACAAGTGGGTGCCCCACAATTTGAGTGACCGGCAGAAATTGGCACGTCTCGAGGTTTCTTCTTCACTGCTTTTGCACAACAGAAACGACCCGCTTTTGGAAGTCACGTGTGATGAAAAGGAGATCATGTATGATAACAGGAGACGTTTCGGACAGTGGTTGGATGCCGGCGGACCCCTGAGGCAATTTCCAAAGCCGAATCCTCACGACAAAAAGGTTATGGTCACAGTGTGGTAGTCATCGGCTGGTGTGATCCACTATAACTTTTTGTTACCAGGCCAAACCATCACAGCAGAGTCCTACTGTGAAGAAATCGACGAAATTCACCGAAAATTGCGTCAGCTGCAGCCAGCACTTGTATGAACAAAACGCCCGCCCACACGTTTCACAAATCACTATCCATAAATTGAACGAATTGGGGGTTGAAGTTCTACCTCACCCGCCATATTCTCCAGACCTTTCACCAACCGACTATCACCTTTTCAAACATTTTCAGAACTTCCTTGCTGGAAAATACTTCAATCAGGACCAGGCAAAAAAGGCCTACATGGACTTCGTGGATTCTCGACCACCCAGTTTTTTCTTTGATGGGATTTCTCGACTGTGTCACAGTGTGCTGATTCGAACGGTGCTTATTTCGATTAAATCCGATGAGTATTAAGAAAGTTATGATCGTTTAAAGTGAAACACTCAAAACGCTGAGAACTTTCCGGACAACCTAATACAATGTGCAACAAAATGCCAGTTTGATTTTCAAATGCAACGTACAGGGAGTGGTTGAATACGGCAATGAGCAGTTGAGCTCTATCGCTGAGGAGTAATGTGAAATCCCTCATGCAGTTAGCTTTCATTATATATCTCAGCAGCATTAGAGTAGAGAATGAAGGGGAGGGAAGCTCTTGGGTTGACAATCGCTTCTTCCATGAAGGCGCGTGTGACTTTAGAAGAAATGGGTGAGCTTGGAAGATTCGATTGAAAAGCGATCTTCCAGACTCTGTCTCTGAACTGTCCGACCACCTTGGCTCTTCTTGATAACTGGCTGCTCAATGCATTGAAGTTGTGATGTATCCACAATTCCCGACTGCTTTGCTTATTTCTAGATCGATAGTCTCCGGAGCAACAAATTTGGTGTCGCTATGCGAGTTTTTCCTTAACGGAACGCTAAAACAAAATTGAATCCTGCCGGATCATCTCAACCAGAATTCGTAAAAATCGGGAATCGTACATCTGGACCTCCTCCCTCATATTCCTCATCCTACTTCCTCGCTTTCTCAACAAAGAACAAAGAGAAGGCCGGAGTTGGCTAGACAGATTTGGACCTGGAAAATTTGTAGTTGGTACACATTCCGCTCAGGATTCAAACGGGAGAACTGGTATCACAATATCAGAGGGGCATACTCAGCACGTAATGGAACAGAAGAACAAGTAGACACATTAATGCCTTGCTCACCAATACCAGTTCCTAAGTCTCAATCATATGAAACAAATCTGGTCGCTAGTAAACGAAGCAGATGAGTGAATGGTCACAAGGAGCTGGTTGTGAACAAGTAAAGCATTATAAAATGCTCAGCGGAAGCGCTAGGCAACCTCTTCGTACTCAGCACTAACTCTTTCAAGCTCTTTGTTTATACCGAAAGAGACCCGATCAGACTTCTACGCTATCCTACCCATCCTCTCTATATATAAAGCAGAAGTTGTGTGTGTGCGTGTGTGTGTGCGTGTGTGTGTATGTGTGTGTGTGTGTGTGTGTGTGTGTGTGTGTTTGTATGCTTGCGTGTTCGCCCGAAAATTGGGGACTGTGTGGAAAATCATTTTTGGCGAACGGATCAAGCTTGGGATGGGTGTGGCATGGGACAACATTTACAGAACACCTACAAGGTAACCTAGGCTCCGCCCACAATGGGCGGGGCACCGGGGGAAGTGAACGGTGCCATGGATAAAAATTTTTTAAAACGTATCCTGAGGAACCCGAAGGATGGTAATGTGCTTGAAGGGCGACAGCGGAAAGCCAGATGAAGTAACGGAGAGACACCTCAGCAAAAGTAAGGGGCAAAAGTTATATTTTTGTCTCAAGACAAATGAGAATAGTAGTGAACATGAGGTCGAAATCGAAAATTTATAACTTATTTGTATTTATTTATTTGCTTATTTACTTATTTACCTATTATTTATTCTACAACAATCCAAATACACCCATACTACCACTTCAGTTTTCCACTGAGCATCCAGTTCCCACTTCTCACTCCTTGACTTTACGAAAATTTTACAACCGTCCACTAGGGGGGGGAGGGGCCGGAAGGAGGATCGCGCCGAAGGCGGGCGATCCGACTGGGCCTCAGTAGGAATGCCAGGGACCCACTTCACACGCGGAAGGAGGATCGCCGCCGAAGGCGGGCGATCCGACTGGGTGTTCGATAAACCCAGTGAAGACCATTTACTGTGAGCCAGTACCATCTTCGAGACAACTAGAAGGCTGATAATTGAACCAGATCGGACTGTTTCGATCCTTTTATACTCTGATGAAGGGGTTTTTGCCGAGAGAGCCTAGGCCAGTAAAGTGACTAACTATTTTGCCAGAGTTGAGCAAAAGCGATCTGTTACACTGATACTATGAAAAGGTTTACTGGAATTCACATTTGAAACTACATTGAGAAGGTCTACTGTCATGATAGCTGCAAACGATAGCGGGCGCGACGAAAACGGATTGCAGCACAGTCAGGGCACCCCTTTTTCACGAATAATGCCACCGATACAAGTGATAGGAAATCTGATCTGGCTGCGTTCTAATCCATAAGCCTGTCACACGTCCTATACTTTGCAGGGATCATGACCAGGGTACAGCTATTCCGTTGTGCAATACCCATGAGGGGGGGGTCGCTACTTTTGCTCTGGGGAGGGGGAGGGGTCGTATTTGGAAGACAAATTTATTTTGATAGTTGATTTTTTCTTGTGAAAAGGGGGGGGGGTCGTAGTAATTTTTTTATAGGCACTATATGCATTTTGTACGCCCCCCCCCCGACAGCTCTTTTCGCCGTTATACTCATTCGCCCGGCATACGCGAGAAGCCGTGAGGGCGGGGGTCGTTGCCTGACCATTCGAAGGGGGGGGGGTCGACTCACACCCGACATTTCGGCACATCCCCATGCTGTACCGCTTATCATGCACCTCCGTATGGATGGAAGGAGACAGGTCAGAAAAACCCGTTTATCCTACCAAAAAAAGAAAAAAGCAGAAAACAGAGAAAAATTGTGAGATCATGCCAGACCTTCTTCCTCAGTGCCATAGTTAACTTCTGCATGAAGTCGGTTGCATGTAGCGAGGCACACAAATTGCGTCAGATTGATTCCAGTCCGAAAAATTGTTTATTGACTAGCAACAATCGGTCACATCAGCGGCAAAGTAATATTCATGGCTATTTCTTGACTACTTTTTAGAACTGGGAGCACGTAATTCTGGGACACTTTCTAGATAATACGAATTCCGAAGATACAAGAGATGAGGTAGATGCCTGAACGGAATCAACGTGTTCACCTGCCCTATCACTCCCCTAGCACAGTGAGTCTCAGGGATACAGTCTACGACAAAAATTCCTCTTCGCCACTACTCCCCCCCCCACCTCACCTCAATGCGCGCAGAGTTTAGAAGAGTAACCATAACGAAACATCCGAGAGGTAGCACTTAATTGTCAGTCAGAAGGATGTAAAAAACCAACTTCTTGATGCTCTCCAACGGAACACAGCAATCAAGCATGGACTCGTGATAAAATCGCCAAGGTGCTTTCCACACTTGCCCTGGATCAACTTCCAGTGCATTCAAGACCATCACTATAAAAAGAAATTTCGTTTATGTACTTGGGCTTATATGTATCTTATTTCAAGGTTACATTGTAGAAGGTTGACATACTATTATCATTATTACACTCTATTATACTACACCAATCGAATGGCCGACTGAAGCATGCACTCCTCCCTTCTGTGGCGGATGCGACCCCCCCCGCAAATCTGCGACATAACCCTGCTCGGCTGGCCCGTATCGCGGCGACCAGGATTTTGACCCTCGGACCGTGCGCGTTGCAGGCCGTCAGATTCCACTCTACCTCCTCCGCTCGACGTGTTCGATTTCTGTCCAATTAGAATATTCATAATTAAGATAAAAAATAGTAAAAAAGATACAAACATAGAAATTCAGGATAACGAAAATTTTCGGTATGAACTGCACTAGGCGACGACCAATCTAACAGTAGGAACTGACTGATTTAGTCTTCCAAGCGCAAGAACATAAAGCAGAAAACGAAGCAATTGTCGTCAAAGACAAAAAACAGAATTTTCACTGGACGATAGGTAAACATACCCAGGGTGCTCGGACCACAGTAAGCCGGTTCGTCTTGTGTGCGAAATTGTGCGGCCAATTTGAAATATATGTTTGCGTTACCTGAAAAAGGCATTTTTTCTCTACGACTGCAAGAGGATATCACAGATAAAAAAGAAATAAGGGTATACACCCGAATGCTTCAAAAATAAAGGTTAAATGCTATAACTATTAGCTTATTTTATTGGAGAGGCTGTTCATCGGCAGTGCTCAAGTTATTTACTCTCAACAGTCCTACTTGCAACGCTACATACGAGGGGTGTTCAAGGTTTTTTTCGGTTTATGTGGGTACGAAGGGAACAGACAGAAAAATGCTGAATAAGATTAATTTTATTGGATGCATCCCTAACTTCAATACCGGCTGCTGGGATAACGCAACCTTTCCCTGTTCCCCAGAAAAACGCTTTCTACGAACACGAACACATTTTTCAAGGCTGGGGAACAAGAAGTGATCACTAATCAACTTTTCTAGTTTTCCTTTCATTTTCTAGTTTTCTTTTTCCATTTTCTAAAATTCTTTGATTTTTTTAAACAATAATCATTTTCTCAACATTGTCCCATCAGTCAAACTGGTTTTTTTTGAACCAAGGACAACCAGGAAAGCACTGATGATAATTAAATGAAATTTCGCATTTATACCCTCAGAGAGTGTTTCTCGTCACTGCTAAATCATCTCGATATCGAGAATACTTTGAAGGGCTCTCGTACCACACATAGTTCCCTGAGGATTGCACACATTTTGTCGACTGTTAGCGAGCGAATGATTGACGAAAATTTTGCAATTATTATTGACTAATGAAGCGCTGAACGAGCATTGGTTTGCAATTTTATCCAAATTAAATACTTGGTGACAAAACTAGAATTTCATAGTGTGGTTCGGACTGGGCAAACGGTCGGGCGTAGCCAGCACGGCTGCGATTTGGCGCAGCGTCGCCCACTCGTTTCTCCACTAGTTATAAGAGGCGGGCAACTGCCAAGAAGCAAGTTGCTATATCATATCCTTCATATTACTCGTTTTCTACCACTTTTTGTCGCATGCGCGTTCCAAGAAGAAGGCAGAGAACGGCCTTGACGGGGTGACACATTCATATTGGCTGACACGCCCAACCGTCTGCAGCGAACTCGAGTGTAGCCTTCGACTCAGCCAAGTGGGACGGTACAAGTTATTTCTTGAAAGGAGAGGTTTTACTAGAGAAAGACTGCAAGCAAACATTTGTGATGGAAGTTCAAAAGACGAGTTTCCGCTGTTGGCATACAGCAAACAGGTGGCTCCTAGGCCGCTTTTATTATTATTTCACTCTAGGAAATTATATCACTCTAGGAAATTGAAGTCAGGATCTCTATTCTGCTTGAAATTTTCTCGAGAAGTACTGCGACGCTCTGAATATGAACATCACACGCTTTCATATTTCATTATTTCCAATGTCACTAATCTCATCCAGGATTTACCAGCATTCCGAGCGTCCGGCAGCGTCAGCAGCTAGAAAAGTATGGATATCAATCTAGCATCTGCCAGTGTCCTTCAGCGTCTACCAGCGGTGTCTGCCAACGTCCACCAGAGTCTCGAGGGCTAGGGAAGTAGTAAGTAAGTATCGATAATGCGTCTGCCAGGGACTGCCAGCGTGCACCAGCGTCTAACAGCGTCCGGAAGAGGGGAGATGGCGCGATAGAGGGTGCCAGCTGCCTTACCCCCCTATCGCGCCATATCTCCTCTCCCGGGCGCTGGTGCACGATGGCAGACGCTAAATTGATACCTTTACTTCCCCAGCCCTCGAGAGGCTGGTAGACGCTGGCGCACGCTGGTAGACGCTGGAGGGAGCTGGCAGACGCTAGCTCGATATCTATATTTCCTGGTCGCTGACGCTGTGGTATCTATTGGTCGCTGGTGGACGCTGACGCAAAGTATGAAGCGGATTTAAGGGCCATTTTCTCGATGACCGCCAATTCGATCCGCTTTTTTCAACTTACATGTTGTGAGAGTTCTCCTGCAGAGATAATCAACAACGTACCATCAAGGAGGCTTTCCGCGAAAAGTCGTTTTCCTTCTTCCGATGCAAAACCCACGCATGTTGGGGGTAATCGACGGCGATAGAAGTTTTTGGAGGCCGTCGCAGACATGGCTGAATCTTTACTGCAAGCAACCATAAGCGAAGAACAAGTGCAAGGCAGCCACGATGACCAGACTATACCGTTACGTCGCACCAAATTTCTAAAATGATGAAACTGGGAAAGGACAGAAGCAAGGAGAGTACAAAAATTAGAATGAACGCACACGCGTTGAAGACCAACAGAAGATGCAACAAATACGATCAGTCAGGTTGACGGAAGACTAATGCATGTTCTGTCCACCACTTTCTCTCAGTCCTCTTTTATCTCATGGCAATGGCATTGTAGTAGTTTGAAACAGCAAATTCTTGAACACCAGCCCGTATCACCGTTATTTTGATTTATTCTGAATGTAAAATTTTCCTTCAGAGTATGAGTGACCATTAACCCTAGGTGAGCATGCATGTCCCACAATTTTACACAGGGGTGAAATACCCCGGGTAGTCAGACGTGAAACTTATTCGCGCAGAAAGTAAATGAAGGATCCTCAGCACTGCCAAAGTTAGCACCACGTCCCACAAAAACCCAGTCGGTACGACGTCCTCTAAGAGAGTGTTCACACGATCTCTCCCCTCTCCCATATAGACTGTCAAGAAATCGTTTAATTTCCATGGTTGTGTTCCATGCTGTGAGAATGGAGCGTAGCCTCCCCCACTGGGTTGAAATTCAATCTTTCTCGATAGATGCATGATATCGCCCTCGGCGCAGTTTGGCGACGGGCGGGGGGGGGGGTGGGCGAGGAGGCACTTTGCGCTTCTGCTACTTCCCATCGACGTTTTGACCTATTTATAATAGACAGCCTCTTCTCGAGTTGACAGGTTTTAACATGATGGCTTGACGAAAGTTTCGCCAGAGTGATACAAGTAAACCGGAACTAAGGAAGTAATGATAGTACAAAATGCCCCCCACCCCGTCGTCAAACTGCGCCATCGCCCTCTAGCAATCCTTAACCAAACGGTAGACAGATTTCCGATCGCAGGAAGGGTTTACCTAATGTACGTGAAGCTTGGCTTAGCTTGCGCGGCAGTTCACCACATTATTGGTCTCATGGGACCCCTCCCCTCCCTACCGGCAGGCGACATGTGACACTTACGCGGCGTATGCCACGCTTGATCCTGACCGTAAGGCTGCGGATGGTTCTGACGATTCGAGAGCGGAGCTGTGAGCTTAGAGTAATCCTAATGCAGTAGACTATGATTTTTTGAAGAATATGAGATCTGTCAGTGCTATACAGCTGTGACAAGGAAGACATCCACTCTCCACCTCCGTGCCACTTACAAAGAAACGAGTAGGAATCAAGGTAAAGCATCGTTGTGCGAGACCCCCATCGGGAAGGGGGGGGGAGAGTACTTGTTCGCTGGGGAGTGGGGGTCGTGAACGCAGGCTCGACCATACAGAACAAATGTGTCATCGCTAAGGAGCGCTCCGAAAGGTGCAGAGAATCCGGATGTAAGGAAGACTGCAAAATATTAAAACAATTGATTAGCAATATCAATAGTTAGCATGAACTCGTAAGTGCGTAGATGACTAAATAATACATCTCAAACAGATTCGTGCGTATCGATCTTTCCAAACCCTGAACAAAGCATCT